ATGGCCGCCCTAAATCTCATCAGCGACAATAGGCAGATGCGTCTGTTCTTTTATTATGTCTATGATAAACTCAGGTAAAGTTAAGCTTGCTGTGTTTACTCTGTAGGTTCCAGAACAGACCAGGCCAAAACGCGCCATCAACCCATCGGTGAAAAAATGGTGACCTCCATGGGTGAAAAATATAACTAAAGATAAACATTTTTGAAGTAATTATGAGTTTTGACGTATCACAAACTGCATTTTGTTAGCTAAGAAAATTTCGACACATTTAGGCCAACATGTTCAGCTAATCCTGCATCCCTTTAAAGGAGTGTTTCCCATCCCTGGTCCTCGAGGCTCACTGCATGTTTTAGATATTTCCTTGCTTCAGTCCAACTGATTTCAATCGATGACTGATTAACAGGCGTTTGCTGAACTGCAATCAGTTGAATTAGGCACATTAAAGCAGGAAAACCAATAAAACATGTAGGACAGTGAGCCTTCAGGACCAGGGTTGGGAAACACTGCTTTAAAGGGTCAGCTGACCATCACTGCCCCATGACTGACCCCTGGTGGTCAGATAGTTATACAGCCAATGACTGCTGTCACTTTCTACCAGGGCTGCACAATACTGAGCTGATTTTATTGTCATCACAATGTTTACCAATATTATTATTGAAATATTTTTGTCATTGCAATATTTAGCAATATCTCATCAAAAATATTTACCAATATTATTGTAATATTTGCTTATAATATAATCATTGAAATATTTTCTAATACTATAGTCATCACGATATTTACTAATAAAATCATAATCACAATATTTTGTAATATTGTGCAGCTCTTATTTGAACCCTTCCATAGTGAGGGAGTCTTCCTGCTGCACAGCGCCCCCTCCAGGAGTCACAGAGAACTGATTCTGGGATCTGTTAGCATGTTAACAACCTGTGTGACTCCTGATTCAACCTGGAGACAAGGCCAGGTGATAACAGCAGGTAACCTTTGACCCTTGCTGGGACATGCAGAGTGTCTGCAGACTCACAGTCACGGAACTGCTCCACGTCGTCGTCGAACACGGCCTCCTTCAACGCGCTCTTATCGTAGGCGCAGATGGTTTCTCCATAGCCGTAGGGGGCAAACTCGCGGCTCCGGGGCCCAGAGAAGGACCGTGGCGACGGCGTGTTGAGCAGTGATGTCTTGTTATCCAGGGCGGTGCGGCTACTTTCCACCACGTCTAAACCCAGACGACCATCAGGACCTGGAGACGGAGCCACGACTTCTCTTCCCACCTGGTGGGAAAGACAGGAGGAAGTTCAGAATTAATCACATTTTCAAAATAAAACACCAGGATTTTGCATCTGCAAGAAGCCGACATCTGGCACCTGGAGCTTTATAAATGCAGTTATTATATCTGGTTTTCCTGTAGTATTACTGAATATTAGAAGGAAGTGGAAGCTTGTGACTGGCATCAGGCGCCAGTAATCCACCAGCAATATTCTAGTAATCCACCAGCAATACGCTAGTAATCCACCAGTAATACTCCAGTAATCCACCAGTAATCCACCAGCAATATTCTAGTAATCCACCAGTAATACGCTAGTAATCCACCAGTAATACTCCAGTAATCCACCAGTAATCCACCAGCAATATTCTAGTAATCCACCAGTAATACTCCAGTAATCCACCAGTAATACTCCAGTAATCCA